TATCTCAATATTATTTGGCAACATAAAAGATGTGTGTATGCTCAGTGTACTTGAGCTGGCTTATTGATTGCAGACTATGATTTAAGAAGATCAGTTGGAAGCAGATCATTTTATGGGGTAGTCCAAAATGTCACTATGTAAAGGTCTTTTCTCGGGAGACATTCAGCTTCTTTAGAAGAGAGACTTCTGCTGTCTTTCTGCAAAGTATACATCTGGCTGCAGACATTTCACATGTTGGGCAGGCTCTGGGGTCTTGACTATTCTGTACACACACTTTTAACAGTCTCTCTAGTTGCACCCCTGTGCTTTATTCTCTGCTGTATCGATCACCTCAAACACCGAGTTTCTCTGAGATTCAGTCTTACTTCAGCTTAATAAATGGGTTCTTTCTTTCCAAGTTCATTCTTCTAAAACAATGCATTAAAATCTCTTGTCTGACTGAAATCCCTTCTCCAGTTCTCCTGATGCTTGTGAGTTTGTATTTTATTTCTTGACTCTCATTTAGTAGGATGTGCAAATACATGCAGCTGATCCTTAAAGCCTGCAGTTCAGCTATGTTTTAGAGTGCTATTATAAGCTAGTCATTTGTCTTCATTTGAAAATTAGATTTTGTTTTCACCTATTCCTTCTTTTTCTTTCTTTTGGAATCTTTCTCCTTACATTTTATGTAATCCTTAATCAAAGTCCAGATCAGAAATAGATTTTTAAATCATTTATATTATTTTTAAACAGATTCATGCTCACCCATTCTGGCTTTATGATGCAAATAAGGGTTAATATGTCTCTCTAAAGGAGGAAAACAGAAACTAAGTTACGATGTAAGTCCCAATAGTTTTACTCTCAGTGCACTTCAGCCTTTTTTCCTGTGGGTCAGTGGTTCTCACCGTTCATCCCTGCACATTGTAGCAGCGTGGACAAAGTATAGCACCCTCACATTAGAGACCTATTTTTATTCATTCCATAGTTGTTTTTTTCAAATCTCATAATTGACTTCTTTTGGGTAACTTAAATGGATTTACCATGGAGAGGAACTAAGGAACTAGACTGAGATGACCATCTTTGCAGAGAGTTTTAGACAATTCTTTTTGTTCTCTTTTTTCATTTTCAGCGCTCCTTGGAATTGGGGAAATGGTTGTCACTTTTGATATCTACATCTACAGTCTCTTAACAATCTATTCTAGTTCTCTCGCTGACATCAAACTGCCCCCACACCTCTTCCCAGCAAGACATCCGTGACAGCCTTTCAGATATCTGAAATTAGCAATCACCATCCCCTTGAGGCATCTGTCCCTCCTCCGTTGCAGTAACCAAACTGGAACAATGTACTTTAAACATGGCTCAACCAGTACGGAGTAAAAGGGCTTATCATCTCACTTGTTCTAGGTAACTGTTAACTCAGGCTCAAATTAAATCTTCCTTTTTGAGAGTTACACCACATGGAAGACTTACATTAAATTTGCTTTTTCCCTATATCCCAGCATCTTATTTATAATGTGCAATTGTTGTTAGCTTGTCTATCACAGAACTATTTTTTTTCTACCTATGCGTAAGAATTTCTTTGAGTTAGCAAATGTTAATCTTTTGATTTTAGCCTATTCTCTCAAACTTTAGAAATTCTTCTTGATTCATAATTCAGAAGATACTCTTCTCCAACCAACATTCATTAATGGCAGCTTAAAAATTGGAATCTCCTACCTTCTATGTCTTCATTTGAGTCACTGATGACATTTAAGAGGGAAGGGTCAATGACAAAGCCCTGTGGACTATCACTGGGACATTCAGGTTGTTGTCCATCCATCAGTCAATTTTATTTGAGTTCAATTGGTCAACCAGTGACATCAGCCTAATTGTACTATTTTTCAACTACTGTTTCTTTTTCATGAAGGCATAATAAAACAAGTTAGATGTCTTAATAAAGTCTATGATATTTCCTGGTCTACCAGTCTAATGAACTTTTCATAAAATTTCTTAAGGTTAGTTTGGCATAATTTCTTCTTAGTGAACTCAGGCTGGATATCAGTGATTAGTGCTAACTGCTCTTAAAACATCTGTTTAATAATGTATTCTAGGGAGCTTTCAGTTTAATATGTCAGAGTGAAGACATCTTTGCTTCCTTCTCCTCTCCGGAACCAACCAAAAACTATAAGGAAAATGAGAGAGAGAAACAAAAACTCCATCTTTGATTAAACCTGAAAGCATTTTTAGCCCTTGTCCCCAAAAGTAGGGGCTCCCAAATGCAGTAAAAATTAGATCAGGGTAAAGAATGGACCAAAGATGCCTGTTGTTCTGGATTTCAGGCCAAGAATAGAGGCCTAAAAGGTGGGTGGCATGACCTGAGTGAGGAAAAAAAAAGGACCCCTGTCTTGAAACAAAATCAGTTTTCAGGCTGGTAGTGAGAACATCCTGGAACACTGCTTGACCATCACATAGTGGCAGAGGAAGTAGAGACTGGAGAAATTAAAGGATATAATGCTAAACACACACACACACACACAAACACACAACTATATATAGAGGGCTTTCCTGTGAACAAGGGAAACTTCTTGCTAGTGAGAAGCAGAATCACAACTACGAGGAGGAGTACTCATAAGAGTTTATATAGACAACAGATGATGCTCAAACTACTCACTCCCAACTACTCGCCACTCTCCTACTCACTCTCTCAGCTCCTCCCGAAAATGATACTTTCACACAGAGCAGAGCTAGTAAAGAACTCCTCTAATGCAACTTCAAGGAATAATTGAAAACAAGCTAATGTGGTACTGATGCAAAACATGTTGCAAAAAGGAGGAAAAATAACCAAAAAGGATTGTGGAACAGCACACAAAATAAACATAGAACACATGAAAAATAAGTCATCAGACATCATAAAATTAACGTAAGGACAAATACTACTACTCCAGAAATGAAGGCAAAAAGACACTGGTGAAAAAGGTCAGAGACATGGAAGACAGGCTTGAGAAAAATGAAATGGAAAATAACAGAGTTAAAACTTATTAGAGAAAAATGGTAGATATGGAAGACAAAGAAAGCTCTATGATGTGTATAATCTGCGCTTCCAGGAAGAGAGCAGAACAAGGTATTTCAGGAAAGCTTTCCTGAAACAAAGACAGCTGTGAGTCTACAGGCTTAAAGGGCAGCATGCTGTCCAAGAAAACATTCAGACAAAGAGATCAAGATATATCTTTGTAAAGTAACTGCAGTTTGTAAATAAAAGACACATGCATATGGGCTTCTAGGCCATAAAATCGTCACCTATTATGTGAGAGATTCTCAGGCTGGTTTTAAACTTCTTCATCACAACACGCATTGCTAGAATTGAGTATAACAATCCATGTCTACATGGACATCAGAGAAAGAGAATGTGACCCACAAATTGTACAATGGCCCAACTATAATTCAAGTATAAACACAATTGACAGATAATTTTACACATCCAAGAGAGTAGGAAGTACGGTTCCTATGAGCCCTTCTTAAAGAAACTTCTAGAGGATAGCCTTAAGATAACTAAACAATGAATGGGAAAATGGATAAAAGGATTATTTTGAGAAGAGAGCGCATTTAAATGTAGAACTATGACTAATCAACTATAGGAATTATGGCTGCGTAAAAGCATATAAATGCTATAGAACTTGACAATGCAGAAATAGTGGTATTAAAAAAAGTTGGGAGACAACAGAGACTGATAGAGCAGGTGAGAGGTAGGATAAGTATACTAATTTCCTGCTATCTTGTAATGGGTGAGGGGTCAGCAGACCCTGTTCATAGCTGACAACTCAAGTACTAGAAGGGTAAATATATTTTAAGGATCCAAAGGTAACAACCAGACTAAGTATAATAATAAAACCAACCAAAAATTTCCTATGGTAGAGTAGATGGAAGAAGGATAAATACACTTATTTCTTCATAATTTATAGCAAGGAGTTAATAAATTCTATCTAAATAAATAGTTAAAAGCTATTCTAAAATTTTGCCAACTCACCAGTCTGTATTCTATGGAATATATCTTTTCCTCCCGTTTGAAAAATCTTCATTATCTTTTCTCTTCTCCATGATTCTTCAAAGGGTACTGGAATGGTTCTGGGACCACTTCTGCCAGTTCTTTTTAGCATCTTTGGATAGTCTTCATCTAGATCTAGAGATCTGAACTCTTTTAAAGCAGCCAAGCACAACAATCTTGATTTCACTGTATTCATGTTTTATTCCTACCAATTCCAGTTGGTTTACTATTTTTTTCTCTCTGTTTTCTTCCTTCCCATCCATCCACCAATTCAACTAACATCTATTTAGCTTTTATTATGAGTCAGATGCTATGCAAGGATGCTAACTAGTGAGAAAGATCATGCAGACAGACCCCTGCCCTCAAGAAGTTGTGTCTAGTGAGGATGCAGACAAATAACTCTAATACAAAGAAATGCTTTTAATATCAGGAGCACCCCTGCCCCAAGAAAAGCTAAAGCTACCTGAATGATTTTGGAAAGGCTCTATGAAGAAAATAGCATTTCATCTGTGTCTTGAAGAATGAGTGGGTCTTCATTATGCAGGGAAAAAAGAAAAGAACATTCCAGGTAGAGAGTAAAAAAATAAGTAAAGACACAGAAGGAATGGCAATCACTTTAGGTTGACTATAGATGGGAACATACTGGAAAGTGAGGGGCAGAGGTGGCCCTAAAGATTGTTCTCCAGGTTGAAGATAGAGTCCACTCTTCCGGGTGACTTTGTCAGTATAGTGGTTTCCCCTCGAGACTAGCAGTATCACACTTAGGTTTGTTCCCTCACGATAAGACACCAACCCTCCATGATACCTACCCTCTTCTTTTTTCTCCCAGCAAACACTCCACATTGCCAAGAAGCACTCCAGTTGAGAATTAGACTGATGACCCCAGTGAATAGTTCACAGCCCTGGCCAGTTCCCATAGGCTGCAGGCTGCCCACTCCTGGTTCCAATACAGTTCTCTCAGGGAGTGCTTCCCAGCCCCCACGCTTGCTGTATCTCCCCTTTCTCTCCAGGGTCTCTGGCACCTTCTTGCCTTCCCAAGCCCAGCTCCGCTTGGTGATGTAATTGACAGTGGCAAATCTGATCAGCACAGAAAATACAAAGGTGTAACAGATGCCTATGAACCAATCCATGGCCGTCGCGTATGCCACTTCAGGTAAGGAGTTTCTGGCACTGATACTCAAGGTGGTCATGGTAAGAACTGTGGTGACACCTGGGGAGAGGAAAGATGAGAACCAGTTCCACTGGAAGACATTTAGAGCATATTTGATGAGCTCGTCAACTTCCTACCAGATACCCCACTCAAAAGGGCCCCTTTAAAGGAAAAAACAGAGAATGTCAAAGTTCTACCTAGTAACCACGCCATCCCAATTTCACAGGAATAGGAATCTCCAGTATAGCACTTCTAAAAGTTGTCCTCTAGCCTCTGCTTAAACATTTTCACTGACGAGTAGGTAACCCATTTCATTGTAAGAGAGCTTTTTAATTAGAAATACCTACCTTATGAGCTGAAACCCGCTTTCCTGTACCTCTTAGCCCATTGACTGATCTCAGAGTTCTGTCTCTGGCAATGCAGGAAAAAAAAAAAAAAACCCTGCTCCCTCCTCTCCAGGATAGGCCTTCAGAGAGTTGGAGAGGATGGCCATGGTTCCTCATGAATCTGTTCATCTCCAGAATGAACATGGTCAGTCCTGTCTCTTGTTTCTCCTCCTTTCCCAGTGTGGTAGTTGGTTCTTTTCTGAACAGCCCAGAACTGAGCCCAAGACTCAGGACATAGTCTGAGCTCAGTAGGATTTTCACTTCCCTTATTGTGGACAATGTTCTCCTAAAAATACAACAAACTATTGTAGAAAATGGTTCTTATCTGCATCACACTCTAGGTCCTATTGAGCTTTGTGGACAACCAAAGCTGTTCCAGTATCTAGTTCTTGTGAGTTTTTGCCAAACAAGAGCTTGCTTTTCGATCAATTGATTCTTTTTCTTGGTAGTGTTATTAACCTAAATTTAAGACTTTCCTTTATTCACTTTTAAATTCTATTAAAATTTTTTTACTAATCTTTTCATATTCTAGATATACATATGAGCTATACAGTGTTGTGGTTAACAATATGAGCTGTAGAGTCAGACTGAAATAGACTACAATTCCGGCAATCCCGCTTACTAGTAACATGACCTTGAACATGGTGCTTTACCCCCAGTAAGTCTCAGCTTTATCACGTATAAAATGTGTGTGTTGATACCAGACTCAGAGATTTGTTGGGGGAGCCCACGAAATGATGTGTATAAAGCCCATAGCACACCATCTGGGAGTAATCACTCAATAAATAGTAGCTTCTATAATTAACATTACTCTTATTTTTACTGTTATTATAGCAATAGTATTGTCATAATTATATAATTAATTATAATCACATTTTAAACTGTATTATAATAATTGTCTAACTGTTAGCAATAATACTCTAGTCCTGAATACTTCCATAGAAGTTAGAAGGCCTGAGTTCTCCCACTTACTTGCTTTGTATCTTGGGCAATTTCCTTAGTCTCTCTGTGCCTTCATTCTCCCCAGCCACGAATATTCCATGCAGTCTCTATTCCTCAGAGTTTTGATGAGGCAGTTGCTGTACCCACAGTCATCCAGACTTGAGGAAGGAGGAATAGTCAGAACCTCTTTCTGAGCGTTGCATGCTCAAGAGGATGGGGCATGTGAGCCTTATGAGCCAGGTCAAACAGGGCATGAAAGGAAGTCTTTTTTTTTTTTTTTGAGAAGATAGCCCTGAGACTGCTGCCATCCTCCTCTTTTTGTGAGACCTGAGTTACTCCATGCCCCCTTCCTCTACTTTATATGTGGGAAGCCTACCACAGCATGGCGTGCCAAGTGGTGCCATGTCCGCACCCGGGATTCGAACCGGCGAACCCCAGGCCGCAAAGCGGAATGTGCACACTTAACCACTGTGCCACCGGGTGGCCCCAGGAAGGAAGTCTTAATGGGGTGGGAGACGTTACATAGAAGAGCAAGCAGATAAAGCCTATTAACTATTAACTCTACCCAGAGAGTCAGCATGTGTGGTGCAGTCTCTGGGGCTTCATCATATCTTGCTTTCTTGAGTACCTTACTTACATACTTGCTATATAAATGAAAACCCAGACTGGAAAAGACTTAGTACAGTTTCAACAGAGAGACCCTTAAAGGAGTACCTTTGCACAAACTTAGGCAGAGAGTCGTCAAGGCTAATTAGCAAAAACACATTTTAAGCTCTGTCAGGAATCAGCCACATAGCTAGTACCTATGAACAAACTGTCTGAATTTGTAGCCTGCTAAGCTCTGAGAATGGACCCCGGGCGCAGTAACCCTCTGCCCACACCGAGCAAGGAGTAGTTCATGGGAGAAACAAGTTACGTCATTTACGGTTATCAGCAAATGCAGTCGTCCACCCTGGCACATTCACAGCAGTGTGCCAGTGCATGGACGGAGAGGACTGCACTGCAACACAAGTGTTCCTGTGCCATAGCTCAGTAGAGATTTTTAGAGCTCTAGCCTCTAGGGCTTAATTAGCACTGTCACGTTGTGAAAAGCTCTTAGCTAGTCAGAGCTGGTAAGACCCTCAATCAAGCATTTGGTACACTTCATGGATGGACAAAGAGGTTTGGCATTTTAAAAGAGATCCAGGCCTGCCATCCAGTGCTTCTCTTTCAAGACTCTTCTAGAAAGTTTTTTGTGAATGCCCTGCTTCACTTCCTTTAAGCACTTCTAAAAGTCTTAAAAGTATACTTCTTTGACTATACATGTCTGCCCCACTAAACCAGGAGTTGCTTGAGAGCAGGGACCATGGGTAATTCGTCTCTATCTGCTCAACTGCAAACACAATACCTGGCAGAGTAGGCCCCTAGTGCCTGTGTGATGAGTGGAACTGCTCTGCTCAGCCTATAGCCCATGGCATTGCACCACATTTGCTCCCGTCAGAGTGAATAATATTCTTTTCTTGCAGTAACAATATTGTTATTATTATCGATAATATAGGTCTTGTTCTCTTCTTTTCTCCAACATTAACAACTGTCTATTCTGTACCTTATAGAGTTAGGTCCTAGGGATACAAAAATTAAAACATTTCAGACCACAGCATTCAAAATGAGCACTCACTCTCCCCAGGAGACAATCAGAATTAATCATCCTTCATATACCTGTTGAGCTGAGACACCACCACAAGGGCAAGGCTTTTTGTTAATGCATTGTCAGTCAGCTTGAATCCTGTTTCACAAAGTACGTTACTGAATATGACCCAGTCCCTCATTCCTTCTTAACATCCCCTTTCTCCAAAACTCTTCTAACTTTCCAACTCTGCTGCTCTAGGACCACCTATATTCTCCACCTCTTCTCTGAATGCACTTTCCTCTTTTGGTCCGAACTGAAACCTGACTCTCCTATTGAGTATACTGTTTCGGTTCTCAAGAGGTGGTTTATCATTCAGAATCAAGAGCTCAAGAGGTAGGAGTCCACATTCTCCTTGATCTTTAGTACTCCTTAGACCATTACACTATCATAGTCTTGTGGTAACCTGTGCTCCTGTGAGATTTCTACCATCTGGTAATACCCCTCTGCGCCCTTTCTCATAGGTATGATCTACAGAATACGTTTATCACCCCAAAGGTTCCTTTGTAGCCACTTCATCCCCTCTTTGGCCCCAGGTAAGCACTGCTCTGCGTTCTTTCAGTCTGGATTAGATTGCATATAAATATCATACAGTATGTATTCATTTGTGTCTAACTGCCTTCACTCAGCATAGTATTCTTTAGGTTCCTTCACGTTGCTGCATCTATCTTTAGTTCATTCCTGTTAATTTCAGGGTAGTGTTCCATTGTATTGATAGAACATAATTTGTTTATCCATTCCCCTACTAATGGACATCTGGACTGCTTCCAATGTTCAACTATTATGAATAAAGCTGCTAGGAAGATTTACACACAAGTCTGTGTGTTGGAATACGCTTTCATTTCTCTTGGTAAATACCTAGGGATGGAACTGCATGATTATATGGCAAGCACGTGTTTAACTTTACATGAGACTGCCAAGTGGTTGTGTAAAGTGGTTGTTCCATTTAACATTCCCATCAGATGTATGAGAGTTTCAGTCAGCATGCATCTTTGACTTATGAAAATTAAATATTAAGTGACATTTTTACACGTTTCCCTGACAATGAAACCATCTACCCCCATCTCAACTTATATACATTACATTACGGTCTAGTCTTTTATTCTAAATATATTGTACACCCAATAAGCCACTGTTATTCTTTTATACATTCAATAGTCATTCATTGATACTTATTATTCCCACTCTTTTCAAATGCATCTTAAACAGTCCTTCTGGGACAAATTTTCTTTGGCTTGAAGAACTCCATTTGGTGAGAGTTTGATGATAATGAATTTTTAGTGGTTTTTTTTTTTTTGTCTGAAAATGTCTTTATTGTTTCTGTTGAAGTCAACTGATAACCTATTTATTATGGCTTTAAAGGCAAGGTACTTTTTTTTCCAGGCCACTTTTAAGATTTTTCTCTTCGTTTTTTGTTTTCAAAAGTCTCACTCTAATGTGTCTCTGTTTGTATGTCTTTTAATTTATCCTCCTTGAGTTCATAGGCCTTCTTGTAATCGTGCCTATTTGTCCTTCATCAGGTTTGGACAGTGTTCAGCCATTATCTCTTCAAAAATTTCTTCTGGACCATTCTCTCCCTCCCCTCCTTCTAGGATTCCAATTCCCTCTGTTAGACCTTCCCAATAAATCGTATGTTGTTTCTCTCTCTTAATGCATTTTATACATTTTTGTCTTTCTGGGCCTCATTCTAGATATTTTCTTCCAGTTCATGAATTTTCCCTTCTCCCTTCAACTGTATCTATACCAGTGAGTTTTTATCTATGTATTCCAATTTTAGAATTTCCAATGTGCTTGCTCTTTCATGCATGCTCTCTCTGTCTCTCTCTCCCCACACACTGGTCATATGATGGAATTCTTATGTTTCTTTCAACTACTTAAACATATTCATCATAGCGATTCGAAAGTTTGATTTTTCAGTCAGTCCACCACCCCCAGAAGAAAGTACTGCTTTGATCTCTAACACCATAGCTTAGTTTTGCCTGTTTTGGAATTTTATATAAATAAAATCAAATATTATGTACTATTTTGTGTCTGGCTTCTTAGCTCGACACAATTTTCGAGATTCATCCAAATCGTTATGTGAATCAATATTGTTAATCCACTGTACGCATATGCAGCAGTGTATTCACCCCTTCACTTGTTGATGGACACTGGATGTTTTCCAGTTTGGGGCTTTCATGAATAAAGCTGTTATGAACATTCTTGTATAAGCCTTTTATGGATATATATTTTCATTTCACTTGGGTATATAGCTAGGAGTAAAATACCTAGATTTTAGGGTAAATGTATTTTAACCTTTATAAGAAGTAGCCAAACTGTTTTCCTAAGTGGTTGTACCATTTTACATCCTCACCAGCAGAGTATGAGAGCGCCAATTGCTCCTCAACCTCACAAATATTTGGAATTGCCAGTCTTTTTAATTTTAGCCATTCTGGTGTTTATAAAGTAATGTCTCCGTGTGGTTCTAATTTGCATTTCCCTGATATAAAATGATGTTAAATGTCTTTCCATGCGCTTATGGGCATTTATATATATTCTTGGTAAAATGCTCATGTTTTTTTCAGTTTTTTAAATTGGATTCTTTATATTTTTGGAATATATGTTTTATCAGATCTGTACATTTATAAAATATATCCTCTCAGTCTATGGCTTGCCTTTTCATTTTCTTAATGTTATCCTCTGATGAGTGGAAATTTTCAATTTTGATGAGGTCCAATTTATTCTTTTTTCTTCACTGTTATCACTTTTTCTGTGCACTAAGGAATTTCTTCCTTCCAAATTTGCAAAGATATTGTCTTATATTTAGTTCTAAGAGCATTACATTTTTAGCTTTTATATTTAAGACCATGATTAACCTCAAATTAATTCTCTTCAATGCCATCTCTGTCATAAATCAAGTTTTTATATATGTGGGTCTATTTTTACTCTCTCTATAGTGTTTCATTTATTTATTTTTCTTCTCCTTGTGCCAATAACACACGTCTTTACTATAGCTTTTTAACCATTTTTGACATCTTACAAGGCTAGTCTCTCCATTTTGTTCTTTAGGAGGATATTGGCTATTCTTGGCTGTTGGGTCACACAAAAATTTTGCAATCACTTTTTAAATTAATATTTCATCTTGGAGGTTCTCACATCAATGCAGTTAGTGTAAATATGAACTCTAAACTCACATGAGGCCAAGTTTGAATTAAAAATAAGTTCTTAAGGAATCCTATATTTTACACAAAGCCCAGGCCAAAACAATATGCTTCCTTGTTGTCTCCCTGCACCGATTCCCGTATTTTTCTAGTGCTCTTTTGCATTGAGGGCATAACCCTTCGACGGTATTGGATTTATGGGATGAATGCTTATATTAGTTTCCTATGGCTTATGTAACAAATTACCACAAATTTAGTGGCTTAAAACAACACAGATACATTCTCTTACAGTTCTGGAGGCCAGAATCTCTGATGTCAGTTTTATGGGGCTAAAGTCGAGGTGTCAGTAGGGCTTCACTCCCAGTGGAGGCTCTAGAGAGAGAAGCCATGGCCTTTCCCAGCTTCTAGAGCTGCATTCCTTGGCTTGGGGGCCCCTTCCTCCTCTTTCAGAACCAACAGCATAGCATCTTCAAATCTCCCCTGCTTTTTTCACCACACTGCCTTCTGCTCTGTAGGCAAATCTCCCTCTCCCTCACTCTTATCAGGACACTTGTGATTTCATTTAGAGCCCATCCAGATGATCCAGGATAATCTCCCCATCCCAAGATCCTTAACTTAGTTCACATCTGCAGAGTCCCTTTTGGCATATAAGGTAACACTCTCAGGTTCCAGGGATTAGGACACGGATGTCTTTGGGGGCCAGTATTCAGCCTCGCACAATCCTAGTTCCACCCCTTAACTTTACTCAGGCTCAAAGCCTTTCTGCGTAACCTGAAAACTCACTCTCATTTACCCAGACTAGGAGTCCATCCACCCATCTTCCGCTACGACAGTGTCAGCTCACGTGATTAACACTCCAGCTTTCAGTTCCTTCTTCCATTTGGGCCCCTGAGTATTTCCTTTAAGTTTTTATAAGTTCAGATATTAAAACAGAATGTTTTCTATGTTTTATGTAGCTGTTCTAGGATTCTGTAGAGGAAGAATTTTTCAGGGTATCTAGTTTATTGCATTTCCCAAAATGGGTATCTTTAACTTACTCCTATATAGTCTCTGCTCCCTCCAATTCACTAGAGCTGTTCTTTTCAAGATCACTAACAACCAAGCATATCACCATAACCAACAGACAGTTTCTGTCTGCCTCTTACCTAGGCACACAGCAGAACTCACTCCAGAGGATTACCCTCTGCTTCTTGAAACACTCTCCTCTCTTGACTTCCATGATATTACACCCTTCTAGTTTTAGCTTTGTTTCCACTTTACAGATTACTCTTTCTCTTTCACCACTGCTGTCTCCTCCTCCACTTGATCTAAAAGGCTGCTTCTTTCTGAAACATCATTTACTATTTAACTACACAGTGTAGCTTCAGGATATTTGAAAGAATCATTGGCCTTCTATGTGGGTACTCAGCATATGCCTCACAGCCACCACTGCCATGGAGGCAGTTTAAGTTAATTAATATTTATCTCCTAAAAAGTCTTACAGTGGGAAAAACAGGCAGAAAATGTTTTATATGCTTTAAGTCTCCCAGGGAAAGTGCTAATGATATGCAAATCCCTTCCTAGAGATCAGTAAATTCGTATTGAGGAAAATTTCTGATCATTGAAAAACCCTTTGAACTTTGTGTAGCTTTTACTGAATGTCAGATAATTCATACTTCCAAAAAGGCTAGAGGAGAAGCAGCAAAGTCAGATGCTCAGACAAAAAAATGGGTTGTAAAAAAGCCCCAATCCACTTCTCTGTCGTCACCTTAGTTTCTCACCCTTCACTTCTCCAGCTCTGCCCACTAATTCCCTCTCTTTTTCACTGAAGACTCACTTCCTCCCCAGCTCCTGGAGCAAGCCTGACTGAGACAGGAAGCATCTCAGTAACCTTACTGTTCCAACCCTCTTCTTATTCCCAGTTCCTTGTTAAGAATTCACTACTCTGAAACACCAGGATCCGATGACTCAGTCACTAATGCTGGGCTCAGGCATTGCCACTATCTCCAATAATGGTTCTTCTACCCGCCTCGACTCTGACTGCCCATCATAAGACTTCGCAAATGTTTTCCCCACCATTCTCCATAAAACAACACTCACCAAAGACCGTGCGGGCAGGGACAGACTCTCTGTTGAGCCAGAAAGACACTTGTGACAGAATGACAGTCATGATACATGGCAAGTAGGTCTGCATTACAAAGTAGCCAATTTTTCACTCGAGATGGAAGTGGGTTGTCATGACGACATATTCTCCTGGAGAGAGAGTTAAAATTAGGCAGTATGTAGCCAAATAACCATTCTTCAATCAAGGTGGGCCCCAATTCAGTTCACAAACTCCTTTTATATTGAAAACAAGACATCCCAGCACCTCCCAAGTCCATGTAACCAAATCTTTTTAATGATCATGAAGTACCTGTAGTGCGTATTTTTGTGTGTATGAAAATATATGCTAACAGTGTACCAACACAGCAATTTTGATATAAGTTCATTCAAATTAATTAGTCCTCATTTAAATAATAATAAGAAATAATCTCTTCTACAGGATTTGCTATGTGACAGGCACTCTTCTAGCACTTTAACATTCTTAAAATGTTTAATCTTTACAACAACCCGATGACGTCAGGACTATTGTTATCTTCATTTTATAGGTCGATACGCTGAGGCAAAGAGAGATTGAGCAGCCTGCACAAGGTTACCCAGCTAGTAAGAAGAGGAGCCTGAATTCAAACCCAGATGGTTGGCTCCACAGCTGATGCTTTCTAACCACTGTCCTCTGCTGTTCGAATGGACTTAGTGGGTTAGAACCCAAAGTTCACAGAGCAGAGTGTGTGCTGGCCTCCATCCCCCGACTCCAAAATAAGAGTCAACACTGACTGAGTTCTTACTTTGTGCCCAACAACTTTGAGGGTTTTAAGAGTATTAACTTTACACCCTCCCACCAACCCTGTAAGGTGGGTACTAATTATTACCCATGTTGTTAAAGCCAATAGTTAATTATCAGTCCTACTGGATTTGTCAGTGCATTTTACCCAGTGAAGCACTCCATCCTCTTGGAATGACTCTCTTTATGGAACTTCTAGGCCGTGCTGCTCTTCCAGTTTCCCTCCTACGTCATTTCCTCTCTAGTCTCCTTTCCTGGGTCCTTTAAATGTCTAAACATTCAAGGATGTCAGAACTCAGTGCTTGTACTCACTTCTGTCTCACTCCTTTGGCATTCTCATCCAACCTGTGTCTTTAAAGAATAGTGCAGACTCTGATAACTCCTCAACGTATATCTTCTGCCTGGGCTTCCTACTTGTTATGCCTTGAACTGTGTCTCCTGGAAAGATATGGTGAAGTTCTAATCCTGAGTGCCTCAGAATGTGACCTTTAGAAACAGAGTTGTTGCAGATATAATTAGTTAAGATGAGGCCATACTGGAGTAGGATGAGCCCTGATCCACTATGACTGATGCTCTTATAAAAAGAAGATAGATACACACAGGGAGATGTGTGACACTATGCGCTGACGGAAGCAGAGACTGGAGTGATGCATCCACAAACCAGGAAATGCCAAGGGTTGCCAGCAGCCATTGGAAGCTAGGAGAGAGAGGCACACAATCAGATTCTCTTTTACATCCTCCAGAAGGAACCAACCCTGCCAACACCTTGGTTTCAGACTTCTGGCCTCCAGAACTTGGAGATAATAAATTTCTGTTGTTTTAAGCTTCCTAGTCTGTGGCATTTTGATAAGGCGGACCTAGGATTCCCTATACTACTCTAGACCTATATATTCAATTACCTATTAGACATCACACTTGGGGATCTAATAGGCATCTCGACCTAAAACGTCCAAGTCTTAGCTTTTACTCTCCCCATCTCCTCCCCGCTCCAAACTGGCTCCTCTAACAGATTTACCCATTTCAGTAAATGGTAGCTCTCAGGAGCACAGGCCAAAATCAAATTCTTCAAAATCCAAGCATCATCATTGACTTCTCTCTCTCCCTGCCTCCCTCATGCATGCCTCCATGTGCACATACACACACACACACACACACACACACACAATCAATCAGCAAACCTTCACAATTCTTTCTTTAAAATATATCCATAATTTGACCCCTTCTCCCCACCTCCACTGCTGCCACTCTGATCTAAGCCACCATCATTTCTGATCTAGAGTACTGTAATAGCTTTCTAACTAGTCTTGCTTCTGTACTTATCCCCTTCAATGCCTTCTTAGCACAGCTGCCAAAGTGATCCTATTAAAACAAGTCAGATTTGGTCTCTCTTTTGCTCAAGACTCTCCAATGGTTTCCCATCTCTCAGAGTAAAAGCCAAAATCCCCAAAACAGTCCCCAAAGACCCACGCAATCTTGTTGCTCTACTACCTTTCCTGTCAGAGCTTCTTATTTTTCACCCGTCTCTCCACCCACCTTTCATTTTGGCAGGTCTCCCAAATGAGGCAATTTCCCACTTTCCTACCCCACCCACTCCCTGTACCTAAACCGAGAAAGCAGCATCTGGTCATCCCAAGCTCAATCTACAATCCATATTATGTGTGTATTCACAGTCTAGCTTGTTTATGTGAACATGAAAAATAGAAGGGGGCTTATTTTTAATTTAGCAAAGTAGTCTCATACAAAATTATGAAATATGCTCTTTATTATAACTTTGGAGTTTCTCTCTTTTCTTTCTCTCCGCTTCTTTTTCAACCCTTTTATTTCTGTTTTTGTTCCCCACCCCCTCCTACTCTCTCTCCCTCTCTCCTTTCTGTGTCCATTTCTACTCCTTTCTCTCTCTGTCCTTCCCTTCACTCTCTCTCTCCATTAAGAAGGCATTGAGGATTTATTTTTAACGAGAGTTGGCCTTTGAGTAGCTTGGGAAATTTTCCCCCTTCCCCATCTTAGTTTCATATCCCTAACATCTTGTCTATTAATCTTATATCTGATCATGTAAATATTTAATATATAAAACATATAATAAATATTCATAAATTAGTTATATTCTGTAAATCTGAAAGGCAAAGCAAATGGACTTTTCAAAAGCTTATCAAATTAGCCATTTGTTTTAAATAACTGAATATATTTTCTTCAATTCTATCCTTTTCTATCCTCCTTTCCTTAAATTTCTGTCTTGCTGTCTCTCTTCTAAAGAGCAAAGAGAAGAAGAATAGGATGTCCCTGGCTCTAGTACTCCGTCTCAAAAGTACGGAGTAACAACTATCCACAGACAAAAACGCCCTTGTGAAAATCCTGGAACCAGAGCGTAAAGGCTGAAACACCCTCTTGGCACACAAGGACCAAGAGAAGACATATTTAAAAAGGGAAAGAGAAATCGTTTCACTTTGCTGCTTTCTTCCCTCCCCCTCGCCAGTTGGGTGCAGTACCTGGATGGTTTCTCTGGGTCTGTGGTTTCTGTAGTGGGAAAAGGAGAGCCTAAGGCAGATATCCAGCTTCCCCAGCATTGGGGGCATTTCCCTGGAGGCTCACTTCTGTCTTGCCTCATGAGGGACACTGGGGGAATTGGCAGGGCTATTCCAGGTGGGGTGAGCTAGGACCAAAGAAGGGGGTGGAACTTACAGCTACTAGTGCATAGATCCTCACGGTGGTACCAGGTTATCACCAGCAACCCCGCTTGATCGTCGAGTCCAGCCAGGTGCCTGGCCTTCCCTGCACAGGAAACCCAACCTCTGAGAGCATCCTGTAGCTCTGGCAGATGAGTCCCGGCAGAGGCCCCGCCCCACAGTGGAGCTCAGCCAACAGCAGAACGCCAGCAGAGGCCTCACTGAAAGGCGGTTGGCCAGTCAAAAAGGTCACACCCCCTAATGCTGTGGTACTCCCGCTCACCAAAACTGCAACTGACAAGGGTCAAAACCGGCTGCTGGCGCTGCCAGAGGGTCTCCGAGTCCTTTGCCCACCAAAATGGTGACCACAGGGGGTCAAAACTGGCTGGCTTCAGTGCCCTGGCCTACCAGAACCACCCACCACAGAGGATCAAAACCCACTAGCCCCAAACAATAGAGCATGCCAGCTAGTTTCGGTGGGGGGTGACAAATAGCTGCAAGCTGCTAGTCCCACATCCAGCAGAGGCCCCCTGTGGCCGTGCTGAACAATGCAACAGGGACCGCTGAATCGTGAAAAAACAGAAAATCTGAACAGATCAATATTGTGTTAGGAGATATAGTCAGTAATTAAACACCTCCAACAAAGACCTCCAGGACAAAATGGCTTCATGGGTGAAATCTGCCAAACATTTAAAGAAGAATGAATGCTAATCCTCCTAAACTTTTCCAAAAAATTGAAGAGGAGGGAACCCCCCAAACTCATTTTACAAGGCCAGTATTACCCTCATACCGAAACCAGAGAAGGATGTTAGAAGAAAATTACAGGCCAATATTCCTGATGAACATAGATGCAAAAATTATCAACAAATACTATGAAACCAAAGTCAGCAGCACTATAAAAGGATCATTCCCCATGATCAGGCGGAATTCCTGATCATTCCTGGAATGCAATGATAGTTCAACATATGCAAATTGATAAATGTGATAACCACGTTAATCGAATAAAGGATAAAAATCACTGATCATCTCGTTAGATGTGGGAAAAGCATTTGATAAAATTCAACGTCCTCCTATGATAAAGACTGTCAACAAATTAGGTATAGAAGGAATGTACCTCAGGTAACAAAAGCAACATATGACAAGCCCGCAGCTAACATCATACTAGGGTGTAAAGCTAAAAGCTTTTCCTCTAACATCAGAAACAAGAGAGCTATGTCCACCTCACCACTTCTATTCAATTTAGTACTGGAAGTCCTAGGCAGAGTAATTAGGCAAGAAAAAGATATAATAAATATCCAAATTGGAAACGAAGAAATATTAAAGTCTATGTTTGCAGATGATATAATGCAGAAGATAATATATAATCTTAGATAACCCTAAAACGTCCACCAAAATAAAAAACAAGTTTGAATAAATGAATTCAGTAAGTTTTCAGGATACAGAACCCCCACATAGAGGAGCCTATCCAGAATTCAGGAAAGAATGTCCATAATCTATCGTCACATGACAATATACATATATATAAGGTAATAATGTTTATATGGTTCCTAAATCAAGGGGAATACAGCAAAAAGTCTTCCTCCTATAGCTGTCCCCAAACCACTCATCTTATTTCTCCTTCCTTTAACTACAATGAAGAGATTGTTGTGTATCTTTCTAGAAGTATCATCCCTATACAATATACACCCCTATACCATTTGGTGTTCTGTGCTTTGCTCTTATCCCTCAACAATATATGCTGCAGATATTCCCACTGAACAGTGCGCAAATAACTTTCTCATCTCTTTCCTTCTAATACCTGGAGACTACGGAATGGTGTGAATGAACCTTAATATATTGTCACCTATTTACTCACGTACACTTTATCAATGTACATTGTTTTCAAAACTAATATGCAGCGGCCCCAAGAATTCTCTTCCTCCCGCCAGTCGGGTGGACAATCTAGGGGCCAGAGGGACTCCCTGGGCCTCTAGGGGCCCGGCGTGCCGCGCTGCGTTGTGCCGCGCTGCGTTGTGCCGCGCTGCATTGTGCCGCGCTGCGTTGTGCCGCGCTGTCTGTTGCTGCACCCCGGCACACATGCCCTCCTCCAGGAGCCTCCGTCCTCTTTGCCCACAAGCTTAGGGTGGGAGGGAGAGCAAGCGGTGCATTTCGTGTCTGATCTCAGACAGGAGGTGGCAGCAGGACGCATGCAGAAGCCCCCCCCCCCCCCCCCCCCCCCCCCCCCCCCC